TATATAAATATATATATACAAACGAACAGAAATATATATATGTATATGTGTACGCGCGCAAATACGTTGCACATGGGTGTTGAATATTGAACAAGTTTCAGCTCGCACGAACGAGAGACGCATATAAAGTGACTGCGTACGTTCTCGTTGAGAAAATTCTTGAGGAAATGCTTGAGAGATATCTGATGAAGAAGAGGCGAAGAAAGGAGAAAGGGAGAGAAAAAGAGAGACAGAGATAGAGAGAGAGAGAGAGAGAGAGAGAGAGAGAGAGGGAGGGAGGGAGAGAAGAAAATATACCGTAGAAAACACGAGGACAGCGGCAGGAGACGAACGATTCGTTAGAATATCTACGATTCATGTGATTGTAAATAACGTAACATAGCGTATAAATAACGTAACGTTAATTAATGATATGCCGTACGTGTTACGCTAAAGAAACAAGAAAAAAATAAACTAAATAACGTTACTGTGTAATTTTTCGGATCGTAAAACGCGCATTGGAAATAAGTCTGGCCGCCCGTGCTAACCGGCTCGGGAATCATGCACGGTATCGAGAGGCAAGAGGAATTTCTTATAAGTCTTCTACAATAAGTCATTAACCATCTAGGGCCTCAAATCTTAAACCATAGGAAATTGATCAATCACAGTCGAATGGGAGAAAAATATAATCGACTGTGATTGGTTCGATTTCTTACGGCTTTGAAAGCTTAGATAATGGCTTATTGCAGAGGGCTTATTGTAGAAAACCCATTACCGACAAGAAAGAGACGCCACGAACACGTATATAAATACGATGTTCCCAGAAATCGAAATCGTCTGACAAAATTTTCGTTTCGATGGACATTTTATCGCGGAGATAACTCGCCTCACACGGCGTCATCCGGATGTATAATCGAAGGAGTAGAGATTCTTAACGCCCGTCGCATTTAGCCGCGCGCTTCCGGCGCGAATCGCCGTCAGGCTTATCGTGGAAGATCGGCGTGAAGACACGCCACGAGGAGGACCGGAAGGCGGACAACACGCCAGGCAGTGCATGCTTTTCCGTGGCGCGCCGTGGTGCGTCCGAACTCCGAGTGTTTGGGAACGAGAAGCGGAGCGCGCACGTTTCCCCGTGATGAGCGCGCTCGTGGATAGCACGGGCCGGCCACACACGCGACTAGATGTAACACTAATTAATGCCTAGCGGTAAGCGAACTAACGGATATAAATGCAGATATATCGTCGGATATAATAGCCAGGCGAGGCGAATGTGCGAGCGGCTGTGTGCGTGCGTGTTGGCGCGACCGCGAGTGCGAGCGATACGGTTGGTGCTTTAAACCGTGTGAGCCTGTTTTTGCGCGAGTAAGCGACGGGAGAGAGACGCTGAGAACGGCGCGAAAGGGTATGAGAGAGAGAGAGAGAGAGAGAGAGAGAGAGAGAGAAAGAGAGAGAAAATATAAGCCACACACGAATACGTACATACAGACACATAATATACACGTACGAACAACACATACACAATGATATACAGAGAAAAGTTCGTTGGACTGACGTGTACTGAGACGTTGGTCGAATGATACATTTTAAGATTAAAAAAAAGGGTCGATCGGGGACGTAGTTACCTTCTTTATATCGTCTCCGCCTTTCCTTCTTCCCGCGCCTCGCGGGGCCGCTTTTAAGGCAACGAAGAAAAGGACTGAAAAACAGTTCTCTGTGAGGCCACGATTAAACTTTATTACCCTTTTCTCTCTTCTTCAACGCGGGCCTCCCCCTCGCGGGGTGGAAGAAGGAACTACCGCGTTCGTCCTCGTCGCCCTTTTGCTTCAACGCGAGAAAGGAGAAATAGAATTAAAGAGAAGATAGCAGGAGAGAGAGAGAAAGAGAGAGAGAGAGAGAGAGAGAGAGAGAGAGAGAGAAAGAGAAAGAGACGGCGGGACAGCGAAAAACCCAGTCAAGAAACGTCGTCTTATGATCTAATTATAACGTAGAACAGCATTAAAATTTTTGTACCAAAATCTATCTTGTAGTCCTTAAATGTCGCGTCACTTCATTTTCCGTTCGATGTTGCCGATCGCGAACTTATTCTATTTATTCCTAGGTTTTTCTTTTTTGCGAAACACACATCGAGGGAGCGAATAAAATTTGCCAAAAATACCCTCTCGTAAATTCTTCAATCGCTGCGTTAATTAAAACTTCCGGACCATCAATGCGATCGTACACATTTCTTCCTCGCATGTTCGAATAAATCAATTTCTTGTGTATCACGTTTCACGTTTCATAACGTAAACCCGTGAAGTAGAGCGCGAGAACGATATGATTACTAATCGCGATGCGGGAGTTTTTAAGAAATTAATATAATGAGCGATCCGCGCCGAACGTAAGAACGCATGCCGACTCTCGAGAACGATTACGAATCCCGAGGTGTAGACGTTAGAGGGTTGTTAACGGTTTTCACCTGGGCTATCAGGATTTTAAGAGTCTTGTTCGATGGTCGGTTAAAAAGTAAAATCGAACATAATTATTTAAATATATCCAATTAATAAAATCAATTTATATCATGCATTTATAACCAGAGTTGACGGTTTTTAGCGACGATTTTAAGCGCCAATAATACCAGAATTATATCGCAAATTTTTATTCCTTTTTGTTTGGATTACTTATGTAATTTTTTATTACTTTATTACGTTATTAAGTTTTCTTGTACTTGTTCAAAAAATATGTTTTATTACAACAAATATTAAACATTTTTTTATTTTAACTTGTTAAATATGTTAAATGTTTTAATAAAATATTTATAACGAATGTTAAATGTGATATATGCAAAATATAGTAATTTTGTGTTCAATAATAACATATATTATTCAATCAAACTCTGTTTTTAAAATAGCTCAGGAAATAATATTGTAAGTAATTTTTTATTAAATTTTATATTTAATCTACTTTTATGATTACTATTTTTGTCCATTTAGATTTCGATTCCAAAGAGGAAATATCCAGTAATTTAAACTTTTGGATGCGGCAACCCTTTAGATGGACACCTTATTTCGAGAGTGATGCTTGTGACCGTCCTGACAGTACGATGTGCTCTTACGCGTAGATAACACAAGTTAGGTGTTCTTTCCGAGATAATATGCTATATCTAAGAGAGCGATACGACATCGACGCCGTTGTCGTCGTCGTCGTCGTCATCGTCGTTGTCGTCGTTGTCGGAAGGATAAAAGATGAGTTGGACGCAGTGACCCAGAAATAGATCTCTATCGAATCGGAGATTCCAATTCCGACGTGATCCATCCGCGCCGTCGAACGATCTCGAAAAATTCTTTGTGAAAACGAGAGAACATTCCGGAAATCGATTACGTAGCTCTGTACGTGTGTGTGTGTGTGTGTGTGTGTGTGTGTGTGTGTGTGTGTGTGTGTGTGTGGTGTGTGTGTGTGTGTATGTGTGGTGTGGTGTGTGTGTGTGTGTGTGTGTGTGTGAAAGAGAGAGAAAAAGAAAGAGAGATTGAGAACAGGTCACCGTAAAAGGATTTCGAGACGAGAAGCAAGCAGAATGTTATCGAAGAACTTTTTAGACAAGAAACTAGATGTCGAAGCTTGTAAAATGAAAGATTGTAAAATACGCGCGGAGAATGTACATGACTGTTGTAATTTTAACTCTCCACCATCCTTATTCTATATTGATAGCAAAACGATTTGTCGCATATGTAACAAATTTCCTATCTCGACGATGTACCGATAATGATCGTCCGCACATTAACTTTTTTTTCTCGATTGTGGAGGGTTAGAAGAACGAATTGGAGAAACCATTTATCGTCGATCGGCACCCTCGGGACGGCGGACACCTCGTTAACTATGCGGATCACCGATGACATTCGCGAGAAATGCACCGTGCAATCACGCGATTGTTGCACGCGAGCGTTATAAAACGACTCGAGAGGTTCGACGAATCGTCGCGAATTATATTATCGAGAAACAGGTCATTACGTTCGATCTCTTTAGCGAGATACCACACCCGGGTAATTATTTATATTGTCGGACGGATGCGTGCGATCGACATCGTAAATCAAGGAGGTTCGATAAGTCCATCGCGAGCGATTGAGTTCGACAACGTCCTATTAATGTTGAAAGCGAGATCCTACGTTACGGGCGTTTCGTTGACGACACGCGACAGATCACACTATAGTAAGGGGTCTAATTAATCACTAACGCAACACGTCTGCCGATTCGAACGTTCGACGAAGGTGATTTACGGCTGCCACCGCCGTAAAGGGTGGACTATAAAGGAAATCTGTTGAAGCCGCAGGGAGGAGGAAGGAAAGGTAAAATTTGTCGAGCGCGCGGATAAGCGGATGATCGATTTAAAAAATAAGCGTAAGTTAAAAGAAAAATAAAACAGCAAGACACACTCTGGAAATATTCCTCGAGATAAGCCTCGTCTCATGGATTCGCGTCTGTATACACCTAAAGCGTTTTAGGGTTTAACGAGAGGAAAATAGAATTAACGAATCTACGAGATGATGCCGAGGAAAGCGAAAGATATTAGTGCGAATGTGAAAAGATGTGCGGTGCAAAAGTTTAAAATATGCGCGTGAGAGGGTGAGAGAATGTGAAAAAGAGGGAGTGAAAGCGTGATAATAAATCAATGTTAAACCCATCATTACCGAACTCGCAATTTCGGGAGACAAATCTTCATTGACCGCCGTTTCTACGTATAAGTTTAGTCTCGTTTTTCGAAAGCTGGACGCGACCACGCCCATTCGGCGCCCGATCGCGGCTGCACAATACTATTTATTGGATTTTAAACGGACGTGGGAAGAAATTTATTCGTTATTCGCATTCGAGCGCGAGCTCAATTCTTTTACCAGCGACAGATGGGCGGACGCGATCGACGTCGAACGGAGCCCCGTCCACAAGAGTACTCTTTACATACCAGTTTCAGCGTTTCCGTTTTTAACCTATTGTGGCGAGAAACGGGACGAAGAGCAGTCCCGTTCTATGTGTGTAAGAACCATAAAAGCTTAATAAAAGAAAAAAAAACATTATACTATGAACTTACGGAATACCTAATAAAAGTAAGCCAAACCGTTAAGAACGTGTTTTATTTCTTTCGCTCCTTTGTACATCGCACTGCATATCTCTGCATTGTATTAAAATAATCTGTCTTACATATATATTTAATCTCCTTTCACCCAACTTAACTGTTCATCATTGTATTATACACAGATATGTGTTGTATAACACATCAATTATCCACGTATATCATTACTGTTTATTTAAAAAAATAAATAAAAGAAAGCATAAATCATGATTTAGTCTTGCGATTGCGTCTTGCGATTTTGCACAAACGTTTGGAGCAAGAAAATTTATTAAATCCATATTAAAGCTCTATAACTTAGAATGGAAGCAATATCTCATCAATCTTTTAATTCACTGGATATTATAAGAAATCTTTCTTTTCAAATCAGAGAATATTATGAGGAACTTTTTTCTCACTTAACCTTCTTTATGTTTTCAGAATTCGTATATTGTTTGCACTGTGCAATGATTCTTTGGAAGATGAAGAGATAAACTATACCGATAAATCTCAACGGACCCATCAGCAAAACTTGTACAAACAGCTGGCGATACGATTTAACCGGCGACATTCCCGCACACAACGTCGTCATAATGAAACCTTCCAAACCAAGAGCAGAGAAGAAATTTCTTGCCTGAAACATATCGTTGAATAAAATAAGCCAAGGGAAAACGATTTTTAATTAAATTCTATATAATATCGACTTTCCGACCAAGTCAAAATAATTATTCAAAGAGCATAAAAACAAAGGCAAGATATTAGTGCAATTTATCCTTCATATATAATGATAAAGATTTCTTAATTATTTATAAATGATTTTTAATTATTTTTGCACTAACCAGCGCATCCTTAAAAGCCTTCTCGGCAACGACTTCGGGCTGGACTAAATTTGCCATCTGTGATATGGCTTTTGTTTCTATCGGTTTCGATAGCTCTTCTATGGCATAACCAGGTGTGTCTGTATCCGGTGGTAAACACAAAGTGACAGAAATGTTGTATGGCTGTAATTCCATTGCTAAACTCTCTGCCAAGCCACGTAGTGCGAATTTCGTGCTGCAGTAAGCGGTATATCCAAAAATACCTGTACAATACATTTTCTTCTTTTATATAAATGTTATATAAATAGTATAAAATATTAAATATAAAATGTTTTATGTACATATGTATAATATTTATGTACGTAAAGCTATAATTAATATATATTAGTACAGATAACTTATTGTGTAAATACCTAGGAGACCTCCTTGAGATGACACAAGTACAATCACTCCTTCTTTGGAAGCTTTCATTCTTGGCGTGACAGCCTTAATGCAGTAATATGTGCCCAAGAAATTCGTGCGCATCATTATATCCAAAGACTTTGGGGTGGTGTCTTCTATTTTGCCTGCAATCGCGAGACCAGCACAATTTACAAGCATGTAAATAGGTCCCATATCATTCTCCAGATCGGCCAGTGCTTTCTCGACGGTTTCATAATCTCCAATGTCTAAAGAAAGATACTCTACCCTTTGTGTATCTTTGTTCTCGCATGCTTGCAATATTTCATGTTTAGCCTTCTCCAAATTCTCCACATTTCTCGCAATTATCGTGACATTTGCTCCTTTCTTTGCAGCGAGAATCGCCATACATTTTCCAATACCGCTGGAGCCACCGGTTACCTACACAAAACAATATTTTACAAGATAAATACTAGCTCAAGAGACTTAAGAGAGATTTAATATTCAATTCGATATAACTTCACATTCCGCATCATTATATTAAATGACACTTACGACAACGTGCTTCTTCCTGACGTCTTTTATTTTGTTTGTCCAAAAGAAATGTTCGTACACAAACAGAGAGCAGAATATAACAATTGACAGAAGAATAAATCCTATAATACCATACAAGCCAAATATCATCAAGTTATGTTTATGAAGGAGATTACGAAGGAAATCAGAACTAAAATAATCTCGCGAGAACCCCATTTTGCAACATGAGCACGTTCCAACTGATTCTAGGCTCTGAAAAAGTGAATGATACGACATCAATGAGAAATAAGAAATAAATCTTTGACCCAAAGCCTCTGATGGTTATGACTCGCCCCTCTCTCTCATATACCTACAGTGAATAAATTCACGCCATCTGTAATCGTCAAATCAGTACTCTATCTTAATTATCCATCTTACCAAGCATAGAAATATTACGTGTATATATTGTACTTGCGATCACTGAATATTAATTAAAAACTATTGATCCTCTAGGGAAAGTTTTTATGACTATTAATTACTAAATGGGAATTGTGCCCCCGGAGATCTGGAGGTAATTAAAGAGCAATGACACTTTTAATTTTTCTTCCTGCATGGAAGATAAGCAAATAATAAATGGTTCAATTTAGTCATTATTTCATCATTTTAATATATATTTAAATATTTTAAGTAATTTCAATAAAAATTGTAAAAAGTAAAACAGAATTCACATATAAATTTATCAGAAATAAGAAAATATTTTATATTTTTTTTATATTTAATAATAATTTAAAAATAAGATATATGCATATATTCTTATATAATAATTATATAATTTCCATACTCTTTTATGTTAAAATTATTATTCTGTTCTATTTAACATAATACATGTAATTTATCGATTGAATCTTTTCACTTTATAATACATTCCTTAATTGTTTAATTTACAATTTTTATTATATAAGCATGTAAATTTTATCGATAAACATTGCTGATAATAAAATTGCGATTTTGGAAATAAGTCCAGTAAAGTGAAATTAAATTTATCCAAAATTGGCCTCTTGAATAATAAAACTCATTTTTATTACCTGTTATTTTGTTTCTTATTTCAGTCACAATATTGCGGAGAGAACATTAATGCGCAGTGAATTTTTCACGTCATGAGAGTGTCATCTGCAATAACATTTTGTCGCGGTGTCATCTTTTCTCACACACCAGCGGCAATTCAACTACAATTAAAAATTTCACTGAAATAAACAATATATTGTATAAATTCTTTAGCAAAATTGTTATACTTCATCGCATTCGACTACTCACCTGACCAAAATAAAAATTGGAGTATAAATCGAATACAAGAAAGGAAAGAGTACCTAATAAAAACGTACACAAAGCTTCTAAGAGACAAAAATTGAGACAGTGAAACATAAAAGAAGCGCAAGCCTTTCTCAATTTTCACATCCAGAAGCTTCGTTTACGCTTTTGTTACTATCTCCTTATGTTCAACTTACATTCAACTTTTATTTTCGCCAGGATTCATTTGCTTCGATCTCTATTTGTCATCAAAGATTCTATGTCTCTTTCTCTCACTCATTAACGGATAATTAAAATACTTCAAAGTCAGCTAGATAACGTTTTTTCATTATTTGTACATTTTATTGTAATGAAATAAAAACTGCACGTAAACTTGAGATTAGAATTTTTACTGAATTTATCGCTGCGTAGTATCGAACTGATATTACGACCGACTGCATTACCGACCGTTTCTCGGTTCACAAGCTAAATTCCCTTGGAAATTGCTTAGGAAAATCGATTCACCGAGAAAATTATGGAGGATTTTTTCTCAACAAAACTATTTTATTTCTCTTACTCGATATTTGTACAAAACATAAAAATGAAAGAACGAGGCCGAGAACCCAATCCATATTGCACACATCGATTCTACAGGGTGCTATTCTGGTTGTATATGAATAGGCGCCAAGGGACGATCTCTCGGAATCTCCCCTCGTTAAGGGTGTCTACACTTGCTTCTCCGGTATCCAAAGATATTCTAATGGTGGTAAAACAGTGTTCTACATTCGAGATATACTATGGGAATTAGAAAGAAATGTACATTTAATCATGACAGCATTGTATTTCTGTAAAATCAACAAGAAACCTCGCGAAAATAGAAGCAATTCTACGTGTAACATGTGTAGATTAGTGCGTACATGTGTGATTGCATGCATCCACAAGCGCTCAGTCATCAATGCAGTCAGAATCCATTACGCCACTAAAACCGCGACGCGACCTCAGCGATTTCGGTTCATAATCTATTATGGTTAACGTATAATAACTCGCTGCAAGATTCATATTCGACGATCATATTACAACGACGAACGCAGTGTAATTGCTATTTTAATGCATCGTGATTATCCACGAAATATGCTTTTTATTGAAAACATACAGAGAGAGAAAAAGAGAGAGAGAGAGGGGAAGAGGAGAAAGAACATTATTTATTAAGCGTTATTAGAGATAAATTCTCGGTCCAGAAATTAAATAACGAAAAATTTCTTTTTTATACACTGAAATGCATTAAAATTTTTCTTCTGTTTTCGCAAAAAAAACTCAAATGAAATATCTATTTCACTTCAGGTACAACAAGTATACATTAGTTCAGCTATGAAAAACAAATCTAGAATATATATTAATTGTAATTTATGTAGAAACAATATAGAAACAAAACAAATATATTCTCACAATTACATAACATAATATAATATAAAATCAAGTTAGTATATTTTACATTAAAATATATACGTAACAAGATACAATATTATATTGCTATAATAATATTATATTATTACATTAAAACAGTTTTGCAAAATTAGAGAGAGAGAGAGAGAGAGAGAGAGAGAGAGCACGCAATCCGACGCGACACCAGTGACGTCACGCATTGCGAAAATTTCCGGAATACGAAACGCATGCGTCGAAAAGTTGCAGGATAAGCCTGGAGTACGTGCATTCACCCCCGTGTTACCATAGTGCAAACCGCCATGTCCCTCACCCCGCCCCTGCCGTTATCCTTCGCGCAAAAGGTCACGTACCACCACCCTGTCGATCGTTCACCTCGTCCTGGGACTCGCTCCTGGTAGCCAGGTTAAAGCGGAAGATACGAAGGACACGCTTACGCATCGCAGTGATTCTTCAGATAAACAAAAATTGACAAATTACTCGCGTAACTCATTGTGTTGTGATCGAAGAAGAAATATCGAGTTAGATAAGTTAAACGACATCGCGAAATATCATTACAGTTATTTCGAATAGTTATAGTAGCAAAAAATTAATTTCTCAAACCATAGCATGTCTTTATGTAACAAGCAAGGAACTATAAATTTAACTAAACAAGACACAAATCACATATCACTGATAATGTTAGTACATCCGGCAATTGACCAGCTTGATAATTATGGAAATCGTATCTATTATCATGTATCATGTTTCATAAAGAAGCATATCATATATTATTATATAGTCTGCTGTTATAAAATCTATTATAATCCGTTAATCCGTCTCTAGATCATATCTATTAAATCGACAACGAAATTTAAACTTTTACTTCGCCACTAACCGAGGAAACGTAATTTCAACGAAAGGTGGTCTCAGATAAACGAAAGATATACGACCATCCGAATGCGGAAGTCTCGATCGGACCCGAATTCTCTTTTAGAGGAGGTACCCACGTTAAATCACTTGGAAAAGTCGACGGAGCTTACAGCGAGAGCATCATCGCGACCGGTCGAGACTCGTCGCGGGGCAGCGAGAGCTGCGGCAGTCCGGAGCCGCGATTTTGGACATAGAGGAGAGCGAGCGTACATTGCACCCAACAGAAGGGAGTGTCCCGAGCCGGTGCACCCTCCTCCCTCGCAACCCCCCCAGGCCTCTGACTCCCGGCCAGTACCCCGCCTGGCGTGATAGCCTAGCTACGATCCTGGATTCCGTGTCTCCCGGGCTGCACCGGGGGGTGAACGCCCTCGCCTGACCCAGACTCAGAATCGATCTCCATTCGTTGCAC